GGGGGGGGGGGGGGGGCTGTTGTTTGGATGTGGTGGCGCGGTTAAATAAATATGGCTGAGGGGTAAATGGAGGTTGACAGATGATGAGTGTTGTTGCTGAGAGTCGTTGAGCAGCTCTGCGGGAGCTGGGGAGCTGTGGCGAACACTAACTAATTTAAGGCAAGTTAATGCTTGTGTCATTAATACTGATGGTGGTCTGCAAAGGGGGGGGGGGCATTTAAAGCCTCAGATCAGAGATTAGAAGTCAACAAAGTAAAATGGATGGAAAGGTTTGATTTCAGTGGAGGTGCTTGAGTAAAAGTCGCCACCAGACTAGTTTCAGGTTTTCATGTTTATCCAGAGTCAGAAAATATGAACCAATTGTCGTGTGAAGTCTTGAGTAATGGCTAAAAAGTCTCACCGTGACCTTGAACTTTGATTTCTAGTCTTTTTACACACAGAAGAACCATAACAACGTCTCACATTTAATTACAGGTTAATTTACAATATCTACATATTTTATACATATGATGAGGAATGTCACAGTTTTCTGAGACTTGTAACAGATGTTGGAGGGAGAGACTCAGGTCTTGACCTGATGCTCTGACTCATTCTGACAGACTTGAGGGTCCCGTTAGTTCTGAAGGGTCTGATGCAGCATCGGTCCCCTCTCTCTGTTGGCATGAAGACAGTGAGAGAGGTGAAAGGTCAGAGGTGAGACAGGGTGTGCAGGGAAAAATAGCCTCATGGCTCATGGCTCTTTGACAAACAGAGCATTTACACTGTTAAAGAAAGGTTTACCGTGTCATCAGATTCAGTTGACGACTATATGCACAGCGGAGTTTGACAAGTAGAACTGCTATTGCTGCTCCTGCTGCTCCTGCTGCTCCTGCTGCTCCTGCTGCTCCTGCTGCTCCTGCTGCTACCGCTGCTACCGCTGCTCCCGCCACCAGTCCCAGTCCAGTATAGAGGCCGATCCTTCCCCGACTCTCTGGTTTTGGTCTCACAGTTAAACTCTGACGTTTGGGCTCAGAGTATGTGTCAGCAGCTGCTGTTAAGGACATAAACATGTTGTTTTCTCTGTTTAACATCAATGTAAATGGAATATTTTTGTGTTCAATGTTTGAGGATTCTAGGAGGAGTTGTAACATCCACCGAGCTTCACTAATTCAACTTACCAGAGACGCTGAGTTTGCATTTGCCAATGTTTGCACCATAATATGTGTTGACCTCACACAGGTACAGTCCTGAGTCCTCAGTCCTCAGTCTGGACACATGAAGTCTGATTCGTCCTTCTCTGAGGACGTCTTTGTCACACTGGACTCGTCCTGAAAACTGTTCATCCTTAGACTCTGGGACCTCATTACCGCTATGTAGATGATACAGGACTTTTGAGTCTTTGTGATCATCAGTTAACAGCTCACATATGATAAAAAGGGAGTCAGATGGAGTGTGAGGTTTGGTTGTGAAGCTCCACTCCAGTGTGATGTTGTGGTTCTCCTCTGCCTGATAGGAGCTCTGTGTCACATTCACTACAAATGTTCCTGTTGAGGAGACAGAGAGGGAAAGTGAGGAGCAGACTAACTGAGGACTTGTATCAGTTTCTAGATAATAAAGTGAAGGAGTAAACTAACCACAGACACAGGAGGTCAGTGTGAGGAGCAGCAGGATGCAGCAGATCATCTTCTCCCTGTGAGAGGAGACAGAGCTGAAGAGTCATAAACACATGAGACCAAAGAAGGAAAATCTACAGTCTGACTTCATTCAGTCAGTACGATGCTGCTTCCTGTTTATGATCCTGCTCATTACAAACAGCTGATCAAAGGACGGGACACCAAGCCTCCATGATGATGTCAGAGACAATGTGAGCTACACTCACTGTGATGTCACCTTTGTTTTGACGTCTCACATTTAGAGAGAGAAAAACTTCATGAGCTGCAGTCATGTGTTTCTGTCACAAGATGGCGCCAGAGTTAAACAGTCCTACTGTGCAGGACTCACTGTGGTGCTCACACTAGTGTTACACTGTATAGTTATAGTTTTATCAGCTTTTATCATAATCTGTCTCTCACTGCACTAATCACGTCTGTTCAAAACTGTAATAAGTGACTTCTTCACTGTTACACGTCATTCAAAATTAATTTTATATTATCTTTTACTTTCCCTTCAGCCTCGACTGTCATATCGTGAGCAGACACCTGTCTGCTCTCTGCACAGTCTCCGCACTCTGCTGGGTACATTACCAGCTTTGCATACCTGTGGGCTTGGGGGAGTTTTGGACAATTAAAGCGAAACTAACCGAGACATGCCTCATCTTCTTTTGTTAGTCTCATCAATGATGATAAATGATCTGAGGTCTGTTGGTGTATGAAGGTTTAGAGTCAGCAGTGTTTCGTCTCTTAGAACTGATCTGGAATCTGCAAAGTTTCATGAGTTACACGACTTTTTCAAATGTGAAACAATGAATGTGTCAGATCCTCCTTGTTCAGTCAAAGTCTATCCAATAAAGATCGATATGAATAATAATTATTGAACTCTTGAAGAATCATGAAGCGACACAGAATCATTTAGCTCAGCATTTAGATTAATTCACTATAACAAACAGTCTGATGACATCACTCCTGGAAAATAAACCAAAAAAAAAGTTAGTTTCCTTACCAACACTCATACAAACTTTACAGATAGCAGGTAACCAAAGTATTAACACACTTTATCTCAAATAGTCCACAAAAACCTTCACGCCGTGCAGGTCGTGCCTTTTCTCATGTCGGAGAGATGGTGTTGTTTATCCGCCTGTTTACAGTCTGATCTGTCAAGAAGGATGAGGCTGGTTTTTACTCCTCCTGCAGCTGTTGTCTGAGCTGGCAGGAGAAATTGTATTCAAGGTGTGACCAGTCTGACAGGTTAGAGCAGAAAATGAATCTTAATTACTTTACACCAGATGAGTGGCTTGATGTGACATTTGAAAACCCCCCAACAAAACAAAAAAGAAAGTTTGCAAAACGTTTGCAGGTCTAGATTAGGGCTGTTTCTCCTTGTTTCCCGTACAGTGAACCAAATATTGCCAAACCTAGCCTTCTATCATCTCACTGTGATGGAACTTGAAGAATCAGGGGGAGATATCTGTTAGTTACCTCATAACGCACCGACATTATACATGAAACATCTTTCACCTGATAGTTATCATGAACATATGCAGCAAGTAACTGGATCAATCTGTTTGCAGCAATCCAATAAAACTGTAGAACTGGGTGGAGATAAGTGTGTTTTAGGTGGTGATGTTCAGCGAGCGGTGGGGGTGGTGGTCTGTGGATATAATAAAGAAAACAGCTGTCATAAAAGTGAAGCATCTGCATTTTCAGGGAAGCGAGGGAGTGCATTCTTCTTCCCTGACCCAGATTGAAAAACAGAGGACTTAGGGGAATGAAAGGAAGAAAAAAAGGAAAAAAGATGGACGACAAAACATGGAGGTGTGAATGAGTGCAGAGGACAAAGTGATAAAGCAACTAAGTGCATAGAAAAGCAGGAAAGGGAGGGTACAAACGAGTTAAAAATGATGGTGGGATCAGTTAGAAAGACAGTTTTAATCATTGCTCTGTCGCTTCAACAAACAAAGAACTTGAATGAATGAGTTTATATTAGGGGAAGAAAGGAAGTGAAGAGAAACAGAACCACTCAAACAGAAAACACCATGGGAGGCAGGGTGGAGGGATGTTTATGTTGGGCTGCAGAGAGCGGGGTGGTGGAGTGGAGGAAGAGAAGAAGACGAATGAGTGGGAGGTGTGCAGACAGAAACAAGATATCAGGGGAAGTAATGAAGTAAGAAGCTGTAATTAATCAGAGCTATACAGACATAAACCATGTTGCCTGCACACACACACTCACAAACTGCAACACTGGTGGTTCTTGTCCTCATTAAGAGCCCTCATTCATTTTTACAAGTGACCACAAGGTGTCGCCCTTTAGCTGCTTGACGACCATTAAAATGGGACACACAGGAACTTCTGGCTGTTATGTTGCAACAAAAACAAACATGGTTCTTCCACTTCAGAGAATAAAGTAAAACATGTTTTTTTACACAGAAACACACAACAGAATGGAAACATCCTACAATAAAAGAAGTTTATACAACACATTGTTTCTCGGTGACCAGGCATCGTCCAGCTCTCCAGATGCTCCCCTCATACAAAACATCTTATTCATTCATTATTTAAGCTTCCTCCAACAGAAAGTATATTTTTCCAATTCTACCGACTAACTTCTTTCCTGATATTAATGACAGTTCAAAACAAAATGCAGTTCATTTTATGTTTTATCTCCATCACATAACTGCCAAAGCCCACTGTGTTCATTAATACCAACATAACATCTGGTTTCCAGATGGAGACAATCTGCTCTGGCTTGGATTGCACCTCATTCACCTGATTAGTAAATGGGTAACACTAAACTGTAAGTGGCCCTATCATTTATAAGCAGTATATAAACATGTAGATTATAAGGCAGTTGTAAGTGTTTATTACTCCTCCTGCTGTATAAACTTGAAGAATGACAATACAGTAAAACACAGCATGAACAATATAAAAAAGCAACATAAAATATTAATATAGTCTTCATACAAGTTATAGTTGCTGATAAATAATTTATATTAATAAACAATTAAAATATCGTTACAAATTATTTACAACTACATTATAAATCATCAAAGACTTTTATTCCAACCAATATTAACTTTTTCTTTCAAAATATGTGATTTCACCGTATGGTCATATATGATATTTCACCGTATGGTGAAATCACATATCACATATCACATATATATTACAGCCCCATATTTAAAAAATTGATAATAACATTGCAGTCAATGGACAGATATTAATATTGATAACCGATTAATCGAACTGCTCCACTGACCCAGTTGGAGAAGCGATAGCTCTTGAATCGACTTGTTTTTCTGGCTTGCAGCTGCTCTTGTCAAGGCAGCTTAGATGAGGCAGTTAAACCGGAACTCAAGCGCTTTGGCCTTCAAATTAAAACAACCCAATTTGTTGTATCACAAAAAACATTTAATCGCCTATTGACAAATTATATAGATGTGGTTGTATTTAAATGAAGACGTAATTAAGCTCTGACTATGAAATTGTAAAATGTGTCAAGGTAATGATTTGACACTCTGGCTTTATTAAGTTCGTAAACGGAAGTCCTCGCTAATTTTAGCTTGACGCTCGCTTTGCGTCTTCTGTTTAAGTAACAAAAACAAGGCATAACTGTGGTCGGTTTTACTGCATTTCTCCAAATCTTGTATCCAATTACGATCATTTCCTATTGTGGCTTTCTTTAGTATGCCTCCCGGGTTTTTAAAACCGTCGTTTGTGTTACGGAGAATGACGCAGGATTTTCTCGGAGCAGCCGCTGCGGAGCTTTAAGTTTACCTTGGCTACTGTTGACATAAGCAGCCCACGGTAGTAGGAGACGGCGGCGGCGGGGCAAATCCGAGTCATAAGACTTCTCCGCTTTCTTCCCTCACAGGTAAAGTAAGGCCCCTAAGTTGGCGGTTGCCTTCTTTATTTGTAAAACTCTGCATAAATGGTAACGGTTGACTAAGTTAGCACAGCGGTTGAGCTGTAATTTGTCATTTTAGTTTGACAGGTCGGTGCTAGTCTCGAGAGTCGTTAACGGCTAAACGCTTACGCTAGGCTAATAATCTGCTTTACGTCGGCCGCTAGTTTTTGTTGTGCTGTTTTCGGCTCGTAACCACAGAGTTATAGGAAGAGTAGAAGTATAGAGAAGGGGCGGAAATGGTTGCAAAAACTTCCCTGTAACTGGAGATGTGTTGTCATTGCTGTCCGCGATGAACCGGGCGATAGGACCAGCTGTGGGGTGTCCCAGTTTGGGCTGAACACTTCACAGAATTACAAATACATTACAAGGGGTGGGGGATAAGTAGACCGGTGCTTTGGGTTTGCTGTGTTTCTTTGACAATGTTTCAGTACAGGAAGAGCTGGTTTCGAAAATATGCAGGTGACAGTGGCAGAGGTAACGTCAACTCAAGCTGAATTTCACCCTGCAGCTTGTGGCGGTGGCTGATTTTTTTCAATGAACGGATGCTCTCCTCTTGTTGTGCTGTAAACAGGATTTGGAGGAATGGAAAACCCCGGCTACTGCACCGGGAGCTTTGACGGCCTTCATCACCCCAGTGATGATGATGATGACGAGATGGTGGACATTGCAGGAGCGACACTGGACTTCTCCACCACGGACGACGTCCCTCCTCTCAGCACAGGTAAGCCTCATTTGCAGCTGGATAATGGGATGCACTTCATTCAGATGTTGTAAAGGATAAAATGAAGCTTTTGGCATGAGAGGATTTGTCATTTTAAGCCAATCCATCATAGCATGCAAAAATAGATAAAATACACTTCTGTTATTTTATAAGTGTTGCAGGAAAACCATGGCTGATACCATCAAAAGCACCATAAAAAACCTTGTAGCAATCTTATGTGTTCAGTTTAGGGCTGCAACTTGCAATTGTTTTCATTATTGATTATTCTGCTGATTAGTTTGACTTTTAAAAATGCCAGAAAACAGTAAAAACTGCTCGTTATAACTTCCCACAGATCAAGGTTGCATCTTCACATCTCTCGTTTTGTCAGAGCAACCATCTAAAATCCAAATATG